AGTATCTGCACAACCTATGCATTCCCTGGTGGAGCAGAGCGATAAGATGAGCAGCCCTTCTCATCTGCCCCATGGTGACAGCTACTATCCCAGAGGTGACTGGAAAGCTGCAGGCAGCCCCACCAACAAGATGGGCTCCCCCTGTCAGGACCTGGCCATCCTGTGCGTGCTGCAAGCTGAGGCTTTGAGGGAAAATAACACATCCCCTGAAAATAACCCCTAGGGTGTCTTCTTGAAGAAAAATAAATATAAGACCCTATTTTATTTTCCGGGAAACATGGTATATAGTTATTCAGCAGTCCCTAGACTTTTTGACACCAGGGACTGGTTTCATGGAAGACAATTTTTCCACAGACGTGTGTGTTTGTGTGTGTGGACGGGGTTGGGGGTAGGTGGGCAGCGGAGGCCAGGGAAGCAGAGCTCAGGCGGTGACGGCAGCCACAACGGGAAGCGGCTGTAAATACAGATCAAGCTTCCCTTGCTCACCTGCTGCTCACTTCCTGTTGCCCCCAACTTTAAGTTTGATAGTTTAATGGAAGACAATTTTTTCTGACAGGGGAGTAGATTGGGGGTGGCAGAGCTCTGTGGCCTGGTCCCTAAAGGCCACCACTGATACTGGTCCACCGAAGGGGGTTGTTAAAATTCCAGGCAATTCAATGCAGAAGTGCAGCTACAAGAGAAGAAAACACCATCAAAAACAATAAAATTACTTTTATCAAGTAATTGAATTGGTAATGTCAGCAATCAAATATGCCATTCTAGTTTGTGGTAAAAAGTATGCTAGATTACATTATTCAGTATAAAATACTATAAAACAAATAGATTTAAGAATTAAAAAATTGTGAAATTTTAAAGGTGCTAAAAATTAAACTATTATAATATTAGAAGCCCACTGGTGATGGAATAATGCATTTAAGTTATTTTGAAAAACACTTTAATTTGTAAAGGTGAGACTATTTTGAAGGCATCATTTTTTATGAGGTAGATATTGAAGAAGAGAAGTTTATTAAGCCTTCTCTTACAACCAAGATAAAAAATCTTTAGGTATCTTCCTGGGTGCAAATAAAGCATTCATTAAATCACACACATAAAAAACAGATCGATATAATCCTTTCAGGCATTAAAACTCTAGTATTAAACTTTTCAAAAGTTTAAAGCTATTTTCTAAACTTAATCTACATAGAAACATTTTAAAGTCCTACTTAACCCTAACCTAATGTTAATTCATTCTCCCAAGAGCTAATGTGGTACAGCCCAAAGTAATTGTCATGGAAAGCCACTTACTCTGATTAAAGTCTGTATTTTCATAGAAATCTACTTTATTGGAAAACAATATTCTAAGAAATGGCCTAAATGTTCCTTTTGCTAATGCGACTTAAATGCTATTGGTCCTAAAGGAAAAGCTTAAAGAGATATAAAAAGTTAATTAGATATGGCACATGCAAACAATTATGATTACTTAATTAGCAGTATTCCTTAAATTGGCACAATATGTAACCTAATATGTAGCTTAATGGCTTTCTTATTAATCAATTCTTAATGTAAATAGTTTGACGCTCTTATTGCTTTGTAATGTGCATTATAAATAGTCCCTGTGGGAATCGCGACTTTATTTCATTAAAACTCCTGGCAGCTGCTAATTGCTGCTGGAAAAACATGCACAAATTAATTGTGTTTTAGAAGCCAGTGACGTAAATTTATAGGGTTCTGTGTTGATTGCTGGGAACTGCTATGCTGTAGATCATTCTTTTGCACTGTGATAGTGTACACTAGTAGGCAACACTGACCTGTTTTAAATCAATAACACTTGGTTAGTTACTATTACAGAGATTTTTTTAAAAGTCAGAGATTGGAAGAAAATACTGTGTTTACTATACCCACTGGGACACAATATCAATTAAGGTTATGGCCAATTAATTTGTAAGTTTTAATGACTTTTCTTGTGTGAAACAAACATTCGTCTTTAGAAAGGATGATTGATGAACATTGCCTTGGTTAATATTTTTTAAAGAGATATACATACATTTTTTAAAAAATAAATCACACAAATATAGTCCTGCTTCTTGACAACTCCTCACCAATCTTTTATTGTTACAAATAGCCTGTCCAGCATGTACCACATGAGATGAATTTAAAACCCCAAATATTACAATGTTGGGCTGAAGGGGAAGTATTTGCTATTAATAAACCACACCGGTTTTCAAATGCAGATTGATATCAATGAGAAGAAACTCGTTTATATTTTCAGCTGATTATTGATGGCTTAGCTTATGGTTTCCACAATATTTCAGAATAATAAGACCATCTGTCAAGTAGGAGAAAGAACAATAACAATATAGGCAGAGATGTCTTCATACATTGATGAAATAGTATGATTAATGATTTGTCTTGAATGATATTTGTGTCTAACATTTTTGCCATTGTTTTTATTTTTTCAATCATTCAATAATGAAATATAGTCATACCTTTTTCACAAACTTTTTCCTGTATTAACACTTAATATTTTTGTTAAATTGGCTGCATACATTACCTACAATCTGTGCTAAAAATCCTCCTACAATCTATGAAAAACTGAAATACATATATAAATTAGGTTCATAAATAGCACGTCTTAGTTAAATGGAGAAGGTGTGCATGTCTTTAAAGACTGTCAAACACATTGTGTAAATACTAAAATAAGATGTGAGACGTAGCTCACCTGATGACACCACTAATTGTACACACTTGTAAAAGAGATATATTAAAATAGGAAAATGTTGTCATTTTGACAGTTTAAAATTTAATATTTAATTTTTAAATGACTAAACATATATGTGGCTCAGAAAATAAAAAGTGTAAAAGAGTTATATAGCGAAAAGTATCCCCCTCTCTCATACCCCTAGTGTTTTCTTTCCAAGACAGGAATACTATAGTGTATGTTACATACTGTAGTGTATGTTTCTTTTATTCATGTGAGTGTTTATTTTTAAACTCTTTCCAATTTAGCAGGAATGTTTATTTGAATATTTTATGAATACCCCAAAATTTATATAACCATTGTTTATTGATGAATTTTAATTTCCTATATTGTCTTATGATTAATAATAATCTTGTACATATTATTCTGCATGTATAGCAGTATATCTCTAATAAAAAGCCCTCAAAGTGAAAATTCTGATCCCAAAGATGTCTATATAGAAAAACATCTTTGTCTTTCTATCTATGTATAGATAGAAAGGTAAACAGAAAGATAGTTTCGAATTGCTACAAAAATGGTGTACCAATTTCCCAGTTACATTTCACTGGAATTGTACAGAAATGATGTAGTTCCTTCATTTTCTCACATGGACAAAGTGTTTTCTAACTTGAATTTGTGATAAATTGATAAATTAAACAGTGTTATATTCAAATAGTTTAAGCGTACATTTTTCTAATTATGAGTGAGATGAATAATTTAAAAATGTATAAAAGCCCATTGTACACATTTTATGTGTGTTATTAAATTATGCATTCAGCTTGTTTGCCTTTTTTTTTTCCTTGTTAGACTTTCTCTTTATGATATCTAGTGAGACTTTATGCATTAGAAACATTAGTCCTTTTTTATATGGGTTGCAAACATTTTTCCATTTTGTAAATCTTCATTTTATTTATGTTTGTTTTTCTATTCTGAGGTTTTCAATTTTTTAAATCAACTATATTGAGGGGTATTTTACTTGCATTAAAAATGAAGTCATTTTAAGTGTACAGTTGAGTGCATTTTCATAAAATGTATAATCACCACAATAAGATGTAGAACATTTCAATCACAGCAGAAAGTTCTTTTGTGCCCTTTCCAGAAAATGTGCCTGCCTCTTGATCTGGGCAACCATTCACCAATTCTCTGTCAATATAGATTAGTTTGGCCTGTTCTAAAATTCCACATAAATGGAATCATACTGTATATATACTCTTTTATAAAAGGCTTTCTTTGATCAAACGCTTTTAAAAACGTTTAAAAAACGCTTTTAAGTTTCATTCGTATTGTATATATCAGTAGGCTTTTGTTTTACTTTTAGCTTTGTTTTCACCTCTTACTGCTGAGTAGTATTTCATTATATAGATATGCCAAGATTTGTTTAAACATTCACCTGTTGATGTACATTTGGGTTCTTTCTAGATTTTAATTATTGTGAATAAAGCTTCTCTGAATATTCATGAAATGTTGCAATGTTTCAATGTGGATATGTTTTCATTTCTTCTGGGTAAATACCTAAGAGTGTAATTCATGTGTAATATAGTAAGCATATTTTAACTTTATAAGAGAATATCACATTTCTAAAATGGTTGAACCATTTTACAGTCTCACCAGTAATGTCTGAGCATCTCATACATTAGTATGTCTGATTTTTTTTTTTTTTGGTTAATCTTAGCTATTTAGTAGATGTGTAGTGATATTTCACTTGCTTTTAAGTTGCATTTACCTGATGACTTTTACATTGATCATCTCTCATGTACTTATTGGCTATTCATGTTTTCTTTTGTAACATCTCAATTCAAGTCTTTTAGCACATTTTTTTTATAAATTAGTTGGTTTTTTATTGAGATGTAATACCCCTTCATTCTGTATGCAAGTCCTATGCAGCATGTGTATATTGCCAACAAACTGGCTTGCTTTCTCATTTTCTTATCAGTTTTTTTTTTTTTGTGTGTGTGTGTGTGTGTGTAGTTAGTCTTTTTATTGAACATGTAGAGAGAGAAGGGAAGGTTACTAACTCTCCTATTGGAATTAGGATAAGTGAAAAGGAAGGCATGAGGCCATGCCTTCCCATGTTTTTTGGGAAAAAGAGAGATTTAATTTTAATGAAGTCTAGTTTATTATTTTATTTTATGTTTTGTGCTTTTTGTGTCATGTCTAACATCTCTTTGCTTACCTCTGTAGGGAAGGGAAGACTTCTCTACCCTCTGAGGGTTCAGTTACTGAGTAAGAAATAAATTGACAACAGGTAGATTAACGAGCAGATTTTGTTTTCTTTTTTTGTCAGTTTTGTGTTTTTATTGACACCATGAAACTGAGGACTTCCACAGTGGATCTAGCCATTCCTTCCACTGCTGCTTCTTAGTCTTCAGGTTCTCCTTGTGCTTGTTGAGCTGGTGGTGCTTGGCAAGTGGTTTTTTAAGCAGCAGATGAAGGGCCTTGTACTTCTGTCCTTATAGAACTTTCTGGAGCATGGGAGCATATCACATGAAAGAATAGTGAATACTCAAATACTCAGTGGTATCTAGAAGCTTATATATCCTCTTCAAAGGGAAAGGGCTGGGGAGACATAGGAAACTTAAGGGAGAGTGAATGGGCCCTCAGAAGAACAGGTTATAACCTGTGACTAAGTCTGTCTTGTCCTGGTATCGAGCTCTCATCTCCTCTCCTGTGAAGAGAGTTAATCTCCCCTGGTTGATGAGACTCCCAGTGAGGGGATTTATGACAATTGTGTTCCTTTTGCATGATATAACTTTAGGCAGATAAGGAGAGTTCAGAGAAAGTCATCTGCCCTGCATTTGCTGTTGGCCAAGTGCCCTCATTCTGCAGACATTAGCATACCAGAGGGGCGTTTTTGGGGGTGGCATTTCCTAAACTCCTTCACCTCGAAGCCATAAACAAATTTCTCTTATGTTTATTTCTCTATATTGTTCTTTTGTAGATATGTGCTTTTAATATATAGAGATTTATTATTTAATATTCTATTCTATTAGTATTTGTACTAATGTTAGTACCTACTCATGTTGTTCTGAACCCATTGCTTCTGACTGTTTAATATTTAAGTGTCTTCACCAGTAATATGTGTCTACTGATGAGAGAGGTCCCCTGTACTCGGGTTAGACCATAGTTTCCCAGATCTACAAACCTCTATCTCTAGTGGAATAGATAGAGCCCCACATATTCTAAGTCTCACTGTTATTCCCATGGCTCTTCCAAAAGAAGTAAGAGAAGACTCCAGACCCCTATCTCTCCCTACCTCTAACATGCAGAGCCCTGACTATCTACCTTGAAACTAGCATAAATGATTCTATTATCTCCCTCATTGCTAATTCTTTTATTCACCAGAAGAAGCCAAACATCCCTAGGTTACTATCTCATATCCTGCATTCTAATTTCCACCTGGCTCTTTTCATCCTATATTCTGCCCCCACCTTCCATAACTCCTCATATCTTGAAACTCCTCTGCTTCTCTTACAAAAACAATTATTTCAAGAAAACAATCTGACAGCATCAGAAAGCTCAATATCCTCATCTTTGTCTATAAAAGTTTACTTTCTTGACCCAGCCCAAACATTTTTTTTTTCTTTTTTTTCTTTAAGACAGAGTCTTCCTCTGTTCGCAGGCTAGAGTGCTGTGGCATCAGCCTAGCTCACAGCACAGTCCAAACATTGATCTCTTCTTGAACATACTAATTCTCTTGTTCTTTTTAAATGGTAGTTACTTTTTTCCTATAGTCATCATCCTAGGGGCAAGCTAGGAGTCTTTCTTGATTCATATCTCCATATCCAAACTATTCTCTCTCCCTCTTCTACAAATACCCTTTTCTACAAAATCTTTGCTCATAAGGCTATGTGACTATTGCCATTCCTTTATAGATACACAGGCCATATGTCTCATTTGCCCATTGTTTTAACTCCTATCTTGACATCACATTCTCCAACATCACTCCTGTCATAATTATTGGCAATTTTTGTATCCATAGTTAAGATCACTCCAGCACCCTGGCTTGTGTTTCCTTGATTTTCTTTCCTATAATGTTCTTGTCTTTGTTGTTGTCTTCACATATATTTTAGCCAGTCACCCACTGAACATACCCCTAGAACCTTTTATTATCAATATCTATAACCTTTCCAGGCACTCTTCTTAGACCATCACATGCTTTCTTATGAGCTGTCTCTCTCAGGGAGAATATTCCACTCGTCTTCCAACCCCTATGAAATTCCAATCCACTAATCCTGCAGCTTCCCCATACACTTAACTCCCTTCTTGTTGAGATAAATTCCATAGTGAAACACTGAAATCACTCCTGTGCACATATCTTCAATTCTTTTGCATCTTTCTCACTTTCTTGTAGCTTCAACTTTGTCCCCTTGCTCTACACTTACACCTTTTGCCTGAGGGCCTTTGAATGTGCTTCTTCAAGATATCAATAAACATTGCTCCTTTGTTTCTATAAGACTTTGTAAAAAATATTATTTCCTTAAGACTTTCTCTTTCCATATTTTAAAGGTAGCGGTACTGCTCCCTTACGCTTAACTTTCTATTTTCCCTGTCTCCCTGTTCTATTTTCCTCCATAATAGTTATTCTATAATACCAGATATCTCACATATTTATTTTACTTATTGGCTGTTCTTTCTTTCTTACTCTCTCACACACAAGATAAAATGTGAGCTCTATGTACTGTTGTTTATGTACATTTTTTCCCCACTGGGATATTCTCACTTCCTAGAATAATGCTGGGTTTATAGAAACAATGTAAAGAGTATTAAAAAATATGTTCGATGAAAGAATGAACAAACAGAAATGCCTACAATTGATGCTTGTAGCACAGATAGTCCTAATATAAGCACAAATTGTGCCTTTTTCCTTCAGATATTTGTGAGAATTTTTCAAGTGCTTTCTCAAAGTTGAAATAACTTTTAACTGAAGGAGTCCATACTAAAATCCTAATCATAGAAAATATATGATTCTTTTCATTATACTATTTAGGTTCAGAGAAAATGTAATTTCTTTTGGTGATTAACAGTGAAAATGTCTGTATCTAGAATTTGATGTATGTTACACTTTTATCAAAATGTTATTACCAATATAATATAGGATTATCTTTAAGTTTTAAGAAAAATGTTAATTTTTGTAATCTTAGACTAATCAAATTGACATCATTATGAGAATTAAAGAATTGAATCAAAGTTAACTTACTTTTGGGTTGATTGTTAGCTAGTGATTCTTAACCTAAAATATCTCGAACAGAGTGAGAGGCTGAATAATGACACCCAAATGTACCCAAGTCGTCCTAATTCCTAGAACTTGTGAATGTTACCTTGTATGGCAAAAAGAGACTTACTAGATATGATTAAGGATCTTGAGATGCGGAGATTTTTCTGTCTTATCCAGGTAGATCCTAGATGCAGTCGCAGATGCCTTTATAAGGAGAGAGAAGGCAGAGAAGAATTTGACACAGACAGGAAGTCCATGTGATCGAAGTAGATGGAAGCAGAGGAGGCAGAGGGAGGCAGAGTCAGAAAGAGATGCTCCTCTGCTGGTTTTGATGTGGGAAGAAGTCATGAGCCACAGGTTCAGAGGCTGGAAGACAAGAGAACTGACTCTGCCCTAGAGCCCTCCGGGGGCAGTGCAGACTTGCTGGCACTTTGATATTGGCTCAGTGAAACTGATTTCAGACTTCTGATTTCCAGACTGTAAGAGAACAAATACGTGTTGTTTTAAACCATCATGTTTGTGATATTTGTTACAGAAGCCGTAGATAATTAATGCAAAGAAGTGTCTGAAAGGAGATATTGGTGTGTAGTCAATTGGAAGAAGACAAGACTCAATATCAGTCTTCAAATCATAAATGACATGCGATAGGAGTATAGATCCATTGGGGGGGGTAAGTATAGGACTTATAATTTTGAAGAAAAATGGTTTGCTGTTAGGCAGTTATGAAATTAAATATAAATATAAATTTTATACCTTAAATTTTATGATAATTGTGTTTTTTCCCATAAGCTCTTTTATATAACAAGAAAAAAAATATGCTATATACTTTTTAAATGTAATTCTATTTTAAGTCTACATTTTCCTTGCCTGTTAAGAACACTTCAATGTTCTTTGGCACTTTATTCATAAATCAGATAAATATGATTATATAAGAGTAGATAGATTTTAGTGATACTAGCAGAAAAAACTCATTACTTTCCTATATAAGCAGGATACTTTCCATGAGCAAATGCATTCATTCTTGACACCGCTGGGAAAGGCAGCAGCTAGCCATTATCGAGGTTTCTCAGTTTGGGGTCCTACTGTCCTTTTTCCTTGCTATCCATTCCATACCACTCACCACTTGGCATTACATATTTAGGTACCTGCTAATGGCTTGGCTTTCAAAAATTTCCAACTTCCTTTTTCTGTCTGGTAAAGATAGTTATCGTAGTCTCTATGATACAAAGAATCCCAAATGCATTTTTAAAACTTATGATACAATGGACTTCATGTAATTTATGTCCCTTTTTGCCTGCCAATGCCACACACTGAGTTCTGTTAAATGGAAATAGTACTTACTTTTTCTACTGTGGTATTTTCACTTGATGAAAGCCTACTTTTACTACAGAAAACATTATAATGACTTTAATCATGGTTTGAATACATCTTTGGGATTATTTTTAATGCTTATGGATATTTGAGAGTAAATAACAGGAGTATACGTAGAATCCTTATGTTGGATAAAGAGCTATGACTCTTTTTTTAAATGCTTAGTGATAAGAAATTAAAAGAATATATCTAAATTGCCTCAGAATTAAGAACAATTTCTTCATCCCTATATGATTCCAAGAAGATTTTAATAGATCTTTAATGTTATTAATTATTCTTACTTCTATTTAATATATCCATAATTTCATTGTGCAACATTCAGTATCTAAACCTACTAAATGTAAAAATAGTAAGGCACTTATGATCATTTCTCAACAGAAGAGAAAAATACCCAGAGTAGCTGTTCTCATGATGCTTCCACTCTATTCAGGCTAAACAGACAAGAAAGAAACAAATGCAATGTGCAGAGGAGCTAGTAAATGCTATAATGAAAAAAAAATAATGCATAGCATAACAGAGACTTAAATTTTCACCAAAATACACATTGTATTCTTTTTCTTGAGAACATAGCTGTGCTGTCAAAATCAGCCTCCTTTGAGATAAATAAGTCATGTAACCAAGTATCATTCACTAAAATGTCTAGCCTAAAATGTCCACCTTCAAGTCTAGCCCTTAGAAAATGAACAAAACTAAAGTCCGCCATGCTCCTTTTGTCTTCTGACTAGCAACGTTGCAGCAAGCTTGGAAGCCACGTGTTGAAAACTGTAGCCTCGTTCCACTCGGCCTGAGACTCTGAGCAAATATGTGGAGCAGAGTCACAACAGTGATGTAACAAAATATAAACATCTGTTGTGTTTGAGGCACTTACATACTCAGGTATAACTAATATGCTGTTGCAGTTATCCAAAGTAAGGGGAGTGGTATTTTACACAGGGTGGTTATAGAATTCTCTTTAGGAAAATAAGGCTGAGAGAACATAATGAAGGGAGAGGCTATCTCATGTGTCTATCCAAAGCAGAGTGTAACCATCAGTGTGAGGGATTTTTGCAAAGAACTGGATGCAGAAATATTTTTGTTGTTTTTGAGGAAGAGGAAAGAGGGTAATGTTACTGAAACACTAGCCCCAAATTGGAGGAAATGTCACCAGAAAGGTATCATGTGGCCACATCATAGAAACTTGAAGGCTGGGATAAGCTTTTTGGATTTCATTCTGCTTGAGATGCAGAGCCAGAGATACAATATGATCTACTTATATGTAGAAAATCATGTCTTCTGTGTTGATAATTGAATATAGGTAGGTGAATGAGCAATTAAAAGGTCATTATGCTATTGGAATATAAGAATTTAATGTTATAGTTTTGATTTATCTTTTCTTTTTCATTAATCATTATTTTTTTTTTAATTTACTTTGAGACTTCCTCTTAGGTCCATGCATCACATAGAAGTTTGTTGACTAATTGCTAAATATTTGAGGGGGGATTACAAATACCTTTCTGTTATTGATTTTGTTTTTATTTATTGTTATCTGAGAATGTTCTTTGTATGATTTATATTCCTTTAAATTTGTTAATATGTGTTTTACGGCTCAGAATATGGTCTATGTTGGTGTAGGTTTCATGTGCACTTGATAAGATTTTTGTCCTGTTGTTAGGTGGAGTGCTGTATATATTCGGTCAAGTTTGTAGATAGGTTTTTCAGTTCTAATAGGTAGATAGGTGGATAGGTTTTTGTATCTTACTGATTTTCTGTCTATTCTTTTGATCAACTTCTGAAAGAGGAATGTTGAAGTCTCCAATTGTGATTTTATAGATCTCTTATTCTATTAGATTTGCTTCATGTATTTTTGAAGCTCAGCACACGTGAATTTAAGATTTTAAGTCTTCTTAAGACTTAAAAATTTAAGATGTTAAGTCTTACATTTTTCACAGTCTAATGTCTCTGTTTATCATTGATAAAATTCCACATTCTGAAGTCAGCTTCATCTTAAATTAATAGACACACTCTAGGTTTCTTTTAATTAGTATGTGCATAGCATAATTATAGGGGGTTTGAGGGATTTGGAGCCTGATCAAGGAAAAAGATATGATTATAAGGTGGCAGTTTATTGGATGACACTTCGGCACATTTGTATTTTATGTGTGTGTGCAAGGGTCCTTCAAAGCAAGACAGAAGTCTATTCAGAGGCTTATGCAGTATTGCTCTTGAGAAGGAGAGGAGAGCAGGGGAATTCCTAGGGGAGAGGGGAATCAGAGAGGGGACTTATGCATATAGGTGACATCATTCAGCAGCATTTTGGAGAGTCCCAAAAGGCAGCTGTTATTTGGGGGTCTTTATGGCTCAGGACTTATCTATTGTTAGCAGATTTTGTATGAGCTTTCATGGAGTATGCAAAGCACGCAGGCTCTAAATGGCTGGAAATCAACTTGTTTGAGTAATTTTTAAAATAATTGGTTGTGTAAATATTTGAGTTTAGCACCAGGAGACTTTTGAGCTAATGGGTTGCAGTCTTCAGGGTAGAAATAAACTGCCTAGTGGCCAGTGTATACAGACCATCGTTTTTCCTCAATTATGTAATAATCCATCCCTATTCCTATCTTGTTTTATAATCTAAATTGTATGTTGTTTTGTAGTGCTTGAATATGTAGCCAGCAACAAAACATTTTCAAGACCCAGAATCCCTTATAAGACAGGGCACGAACTAGAATTCCAAAGCCCATTCACAGCCCATCTGCCCATTTAGTGAGAGAAAGCTAGGAGAATAGACTAGAAAAGGAAATGCCTTCAATTCGTTCCATGTGTTTAGTCAGCAGAGTGATATATTCGTTCTGGTGCATGTCCCTAGCTATGTATAAAACTTAGTGATTGTTATGTACTGCATGCAGCAAGATATATTAACAAGTGCACAGACCCCTTTGTTTTTCATTTGGTTCTTGGAATAGATCCTTCAGGACAGACGGGACTCTAGCGTGAGAGAGAGGATGTAGGTTTTCTGCTCCAAAGTAACACTCATTTCCCCTTCTTAGCCCTTTTGTCTTTTTTCGTTTGTGTTACCTTGTGATGGACACCAGCAAATAAGAGAAATTATCCTAGTCCCAATTGTAATGCCACCATGCTGCTTTTTTTTTCTCTGAAAAGCACTGGTCTTTTTCTCCAGAGTCCTCCCTTCTATCGCATCTCACTGGCTCCTTCCTTCACTCCATCTCATCTCCCCCAAGAATTTGGGCTCTGTCCTCTCTGGGTGGCATCGTTGGTAGGCAGCTGGTATGAGCGGGGCCCAGCACATATTTCCTGGTTTGGAGCACTCCTTCAAAATGACAATACCTTCTTTGGAGCCTTGAGAGAGGCAGGAACATAAATTTCCTTATTTCTTCTTTTAAATTATCTTTTACTTGTCTCAGCCCATGGGTTGGGGAATCTCGATGTTCTCCCAGACAGGGGCTAGAATGACACCATCATCAGCAGTACATGCCAGCTGTTTACAAAAGCATGTCTCCAGCTATGCTTAAGAAACTGATCTTGGTCTGTCATCTCTGCCTTTTGGGTTCATTTACTTGCCATTATAGACCCCAAGGACAGGAATCCTCTTATCTTAGAGTACTGCAAATTGCCAGCTGAGCCAAAAGGAGCTCTTACTGATATATCTTGTTATGGAATCCGGGACATCCCACCTTTGGTTCACAGGCGTGCGCTCCTCCTTTTTTTCAGTTCAGGCTCCTAGGTTTTACAGTGTCCATTGCCTGCTTAGTGGGGGACTCATGAAACAAAATACACTGTAAACAGTTTTAGTCACTCTAAGAAGCAGAGCTAGGAAAAATGAAAAGTAAAATATTGATGAAATTTGGATCAATGTATAAAAAACATTCTAATAACAATAGTGATTAACATATATAATACATTTTCTTTGTAGGAAGTTTGTCAGGAAATTGTACAGAGGTTTATTTTTCTGATAGCAGCTTAATCAAAGTTACCTTAAAATTTTCTTACAATAGTTACTATAATAATTTGCAAATGATTTATGCCAGACTTAAACTTATGAAATTATTTAACAATTGAAAAAGAAACATTTATAAATATATACTGAAAAAGAATAAATGACAATTCCCTCAAATTTATTGATTTTCCTTAATGTTGGTTTTATAGTGGCTTTTTCTTTTTGTTTTTCTTCTTATATTTGTACTACCTGATCATTTTATAACAAACATTTCTTTTACAATAAGAAAATCTGGAGAGATACAAAATGTGAAGTTATCTCACCTTATTGACTCAAAAGTCACATCTAATGTACTAGGTATATAAAAACCTTAAGACTCCACCAGAAACCTCTTAGAATTGATAAACATTCAGTGAAGTTGGAGGATACAAAATCAGCATACAAAAATCACTAGTGATTTTATATGCTAGCAGTCATCAATCTGAAAGATAAATCAAGAAAGCAATCCCAGTTACAACAGCTACAAAATAAAATAAAATAAAATACCTAGGAATAAATTCAACCAAAGAAGTAAAATATCTCTACAAGGAAAGCTAAAAAACACTGATGAAAGAGATTGAAGAGGACACAAAAAAATGAAATAATAACCCATGTTCAAGGATTAGAAGAATTAATATTGTTAAGACATTCATGCTACCTAAAACAATCTATAAATGGAATGCTATCCCTGTAAAAGTGCCAATGACATTCTTCATAGAAATAGAAAAAAAAATCAAATTTCTATGGAACCACAAAAGACCCCACCTAGCTAAAGTAATCCTGAGTAAAAAGAATAAATCTGGAGGCATCACACTATTCGATTTCAAATTATATTAATATTACAAAGCTATCAAAAGCACAGAAAGCAAAAGCAAAAATAGACAAATGTGATTACATCAAGCTAAAAAGTTTTTGTACAGCAAAGGAAACAATGAGCAGGTGAAGAGATAACCTATAGTACAGGAGAAAATATTTTCAAATTATCTCTACAACAAAGATTAATAAGGAGAATATATAAAGAATTCAACACAAATAAATAAATTAAAAAATGAACAAAAGACCTGAATAAACATTTCTCAACAGAAGGCAAACAAATGGCAACCAGGTATATGAAAATATGCTCAAAATCACTAACCATCAAAGAAATATAAATCAAAACCATAAAGATGTATCATTTTACTTTATACCTAGTATCAAAAAGACAAAAAATAAATGCTGGTAAGGAAGTGGAGAAAAAGAAACAATTATACACTGTGGATGAGCATGTAAATTAGTACAGCCATTATGGGGAAAAGTATAGAGATTCTTCAAAAAACTAACAAGATAACTACCATACGACCCATACTGTTGGGTATATATACAAAAGAAAGGAAATCGGTATGTCATAGAGATATCTGCACGTCCATCTTTATTGCATCACTATTCATAATAGCCAAGTTGTGGAATCAACCTAAGTGCCCATAAACAGATGAATGGATAAAGGAAATGTGGTATATATACAAAATGGATTATTATTAAGCTATAAAAACAAATGGAATTCTGTCATTTGCAGCAACATATAAAACTGGAGGTCATATGTTAAGTGAAATAAGCCAGGCACACAAAGACAAATATCTCATGGTCTCACTCATATGTGGGAGCTAAAAAAAAGTGGATCTCATAGAGGTAGAGAGTGAATGGTGGTTGCCATCATCTGGGAAGAAAAGGAGAGAGAGGACATGAAGAGAAGTTGGTTACTGGGTAAAAAGTAGATGGAAGGAATAATTTCTAGTATTTGTTAGTACAGTAGAAAAATAGAGTTAACAATAATTTATTGTTATTTCAAAATAGCTAGGAGAATTGTAATGCTCCCAACTTAAAGAAAAGATAAATGTTTGTGGCAATGGATAACTTAATTACTCTGATTTGATCATCATTAAATATTGTATATATATATATGACCTGTACCCCAAAGTATTAATATTAATATATACAGCTATGATAATCATAAAATATAAAATAAAATACAGATATATCTTCATATATTCTATATCCTTTGAGTATTATTCCAAAGAATGCACTTATCTATAAAGGGTTCAGTGAAATAAATTATGTATATTATAAATTCTCTTGAAATTAATAAAACTTTTGCAAATCTGAATCTTCAACCAATTAACTAATAATTAATATCATATTTGTAATATATCAGGATCCATTCTAAATATTTAATGTTTATAACAACCCTGTGATGTAGGTACTATTTTTTTAACTAAAACAAAATGGTACTGACATAAAAACAAATGAATTTACCAATGGAATAGAAAGAGAACCCAGAAATATATCCATGCACTTACAGCCAAGTCATTTTTGACAAAGTCACCAATAACATATGTTGGGGAAAGGACAGCCTCTTTAATAAATGTTTCTGGGAAAACTGGATACCCATATGCAAGAGAATGAAACTTTCTTTATCCCCTGTATTTCACCATATAAAAAAATCAATTTGAAATAGATTAAAGACTTAAATGTAAGACCTAAAACTAGGAAACTACTAGAAGCAAACATTGGGCAAGTATTACGGTACCTCAGTCTGGGGAAAGATTTTTTTGGAAAAGACATCAAAAGCACAGAAAGCAAAAGCAAAAATAGACAAATGTGATTACATCAAGCTAAAAAGTTTTTGTACAGCAAAGGAAACAATGAGCAGGTGAAGAGATAACCTATAGTACAGGAGAAAATATTTTCAAATTATCTCTACAACAAAGATTAATAAGGAGAATATATAAAGAATTCAACACAAATAAATAAATTAAAAAATGAACAAAAGACCTGAATAAACATTTCTCAACAGAAGGCAAACAAATGGCAACCAGGTATATGAAAATATGCTCAAAATCACTAACCATCAAAGAAATATAAATCAAAACCATAAAGATGTATCATTTTACTTTATACCTAGTATCAAAAAGACAAAAAATAAATGCTGGTAAGGAAGTGGAGAAAAAGAAACAATTATACACTGTGGATGAGCATGTAAATTAGTACAGCCATTATGGGGAAAAGTATAGAGATTCTTCAAAAAACTAACAAGATAACTACCATACGACCCATACTGTTGGGTATATATACAAAAGAAAGGAAATCGGTATGTCATAGAGATATCTGCACGTCCATCTTTATTGCATCACTATTCATAATAGCCAAGTTGTGGAATCAACCTAAGTGCCCATAAACAGATGAATGGATAAAGGAAATGTGGTATATATACAAAATGGATTATTATTAAGCTATAAAAACAAATGGAATTCTGTCATTTGCAGCAACATATAAAACTGGAGGTCATATGTTAAGTGAAATAAGCCAGGCACACAAAGACAAATATCTCATGGTCTCACTCATATGTGGGAGCTAAAAAAAAGTGGATCTCATAGAGGTAGAGAGTGAATGGTGGTTGCCATCATCTGGGAAGAAAAGGAGAGAGAGGACATGAAGAGAAGTTGGTTACTGGGTAAAAAGTAGATGGAAGGAATAATTTCTAGTATTTGTTAGTACAGTAGAAAAATAGAGTTAACAATAATTTATTGTTATTTCAAAATAGCTAGGAGAATTGTAATGCTCCCAACTTAAAGAAAAGATAAATGTTTGTGGCAATGGATAACTTAATTACTCTGATTTGATCATCATTAAATATTGTATATATATATATGACCTGTACCCCAAAGTATTAATATTAATATATACAGCTATGATAATCATAAAATATAAAATAAAATACAGATATATCTTCATATATTCTATATCCTTTGAGTATTATTCCAAAGAATGCACTTATCTATAAAGGGTTCAGTGAAATAAATTATGTATATTATAAATTCTCTTGAAATTAATAAAACTTTTGCAAATCTGAATCTTCAACCAATTAACTAATAATTAATATCATATTTGTAATATATCAGGATCCATTCTAAATATTTAATGTTTATAACAACCCTGTGATGTAGGTACTATTTTTTTTCCTGTTATACAGATGAAGAAACTAAGGCACAGAAAATTAGATAACTTGCACAAGGTCACGCAGTTACAGAGCAGTAGATGTGTCTTAGGAGTCAGTCCATTTTGAGAATTTGTGGTTTTAATCATTCTTCCAAATGACTTCTCTATAAGAAACATAATGAATGCAAATATTTGTATATTATTTATAGATATGTAATAATTTTGTATAAATGATCTTTTAATCCTTACTATAACATTATTTTATTTACTTTATAATCAAAATGTGTTTTTGAGTGCCTATTGTTTATACTCAATGGGCTGGCACCTGAGAGTATTAAAACCTGCCAATGATAGCCACACATCCTTGCAAATTTTTGAAGTATTTATGATGTTTTAAATCATGCTCAGAATATTCTGAAGGCAAATAGCATTGCCCTCACTTTGCAGATAAGAAGGCTAAGTCTCGGAGTGCTTAGGAAACTTTTCTAAAAATGGGCCCCTATTAGGTGCGATTTTTGAGATTTGAACTCAATGTTCGTGAATCTGGTTTCAGTCTTTGTACTGCATCTCCAAATTATCCAAGTTATTATCCTTTTAAAAAAATACTACATTAAGATTATTTTTGGCCATCAGTGCCCTCTAAAGTTATTCAAGGGAAAACTGTTCTCATCATGTAAATTCTAAGAATAATCATTTCCTTTTATCATCATCTCCCATTCTTCCACCATAAAGTTGTAGTCCAGAAAATATTACATGCATAACAAATAATTTAAAGAATACCTCTATATTTTTTCACCCTTACTGCTGTTGCCCATTAAAGTAATGTTGATACATTCATTCTCCAGGTGCAGCTATCAAATTATGTATTTCTTCTGACATTCAGTAGTGTGCACCAATTTCTACCTAAGGGAGGGTAAATCCTTGAAAAGTTATCGATAGTCTGTGTTTTTCTGTTATTATCCAATTTATGTTAAGTATTTGAATCTTGGACATTTTGGAATTTGCCTTCAACTTAGTGTTTTATTTATTTATTTTAAAAATTATATGCCATTTGGATCATATAAAAGAATGATTAAATACCAATTTGAGCCCGTTCTATCCAATGGTGCATTCTCTCATCACAGTGTGCAGCCATGTGCAACTATGACTTTTGGGGCCGAGTTCCAAGAGAACATTTGACGATTGAATTTGTGCTTATCAGATTGAAGTTTGAAAAATTTATTGCTGATAGATTTATTTTTTTCAAAAAGTACATGTAGATATATTAGAGGCCAAGATGGAGCCTAACACATTAAAAAAATAGCTTTAGAGTCCAAACTTACTGTTTACAAATCATAAAACATTTGCTTTTTTTAAATCTTAAGGAAATAATTGCCTTGATATATATGAAATTTGTACAAGTGGAATATGCATATTCATATATGTGCTAATTTTATTTTAAAAATCCTGTGTTGTTTCACCTTATTAAAAGAAGAAAAAAGTCCATAGCTAGATGTCCAAAATAATAAAGTCAAGAAAAATCTTTATAAATTACATGTTTATATATAAAGAAGAAATGATTTCCTGATTACTTTCTAATACAACACAACAAAGTTAAAAACATGGATTTAGGGGAGAAATTACCCAATTATTAAGCCCTGCTTAGCCCCTTATTAGTTATATGATTTGAATAATATTCTCTGTGCCATGTTTTTTTCTTCTATATAATGAGGCTAATAAAAGTTTCTACCTCATTTTTTAAATAAAAATTAATGAATATATATGTAAAATATTTAGAACACTTCCTGGGATCTAATTAACATGGTATAATTCCTTGCTTTTGTAACTCTCTTTTGCTATGTGATTTGAAGCTGCAAATTTTATCCTAAATTTCCATGACTTACAATTATATGAGAAACAGAAAAACGTAGTTACTTAAAATCAGAAACAAGTCAACAATGTACAGTACCACTACTTTTAATCAACATTGTGCAGTAGGTACTAGCCAGTAGAGTAAGACAAATATTAAAAAAAATATGTAAGGATTGGAAAGAGACAAACTGTGATTCACAGGTGATACAGATTTAAAGTCAATTTGCATATTAACTCCTTTTAAGTGTATCAGTATGTGCAGTTAGAAATTTAAATACCTTTTAACATTATTTATAATAAATAACAAAATTTATGTATCCAGGAACAAATCTAACATATTTTGAAAACCTATATGCACACAATTAAAAAAATCTTGAAAGATATTTATGAAAACATAATTATTCATGAGTGTGAAGATTAAATGCTGACAGGATATCAGTTCTCTTCAAATGTAGTATAAGATGAAAGGATTTCCAATAAAAACTCAAAGTATCTTGTGAGGAACTTTTCAAATTGATTTTAATATTTATGTATTTAAAAAAAAACCCTCAAAATATCTAATACATTCTTGAAGGGAAAGGATTACATAGAACACTTGTACTACTAAAAATCAACTTATGTAAACATGTTATTAATCATTAAAGATGATAAAAGAGTGTTTTGCTTTTACATGGCATGAACAGGTGTATACTTTCACTTGATTGCTCTGAGGCTGTATTCAGCTTCTACAGTACACTCTAGTAATCTCACTGGTACACTCTAGTAATAACAAACAGTCTGTTAATTGGGCTTCATGAACAGAAATAAATTAGTACCTACCTGTATGTGTGTCAGAGTGTGGATTGTTTGAAGTTTTTAGAATTTAAATGATTTGGGGCTTTTGATAACAATAAAGTGGCCATGCCTTGCACTCCCTATCAAGAAAGTTTTTGGCGAACTTCTTTAGGTTTTGGAGGCAGCATGTAGCAAACTAAGGGATACTGTTCCAACCCACTTATCAGGTGACTAGAAAGTGGAACGCAGAGTAAAAGGGAACTCTGCAGCCCATTCAAGCTTCAGTGCAATATGATATATGCCAAACATGCCAGGAAACTGACTGTGTTAGAGACGTCCCAGTTGTAAAATATGCTGTGTACAGTCTCTGGTAAACCCAGATTAGCAGAGTTCCAGGAAGGTTATAGAGAAAGACAATGCCATCTGTGACAGACAACTACCCTCTTTTTGTAAAAAAAAAAAAACTCTGGTGTGCTACTAGGTACTAGGAGATTGAGTTCCTAGGCATGGGACCTGCATTCTCCATTTTAAGAAGGATATTACCAGATCTACTGAAACATAAAGCCACAAGAACAAAGAAGCAGGCCATTGTTCAATGGAAATAGCACGTGAGAACTGGACTTGAAGAGATCCAGAAGATTTGAGTAAAATTACAAAATTAGGTGGCCCAGACTTTCATGGTACTTACCTATATTATATTGACTTCTCTCTTTCATTATACCTGTGGCTTACTGGGACTTTTCTCAACCTGGTCTGCTTCCCAAATGAGTCAGTGTAATATGCTGCTACTAGCTGAAAATAGACTGCTGCCAAACCCTAGTCAGGACTGGCCATAAAGGAGAGTGCAGAAAGAAATTTCTCCCAGCACAGCTGTGAGCAATATCCTTGTTATGAAATTCACATTGACTGAGAAGAGGTTGGAGTATGGCTAATGTTCAGTGACTTGACTGGATTTTTAGAGGTCTGAGAAAAAGATTAGAATAATAGAGGCGAGGAAACCTAGGGAAGAGGCATCTAGGTTGATCTATAGGCATTGCACAAGTTCCACCCATTAAAGTGCATTCACTGCAGAGGAAGCATGCGACGGTCAGGTGGAAAGGATGATGCATACTCTTTCCCTGGTCACATCAGTGATGACACAACAGGCCTATGAATGATGTGGCCATGGCAGCAGTGATGAGGAGTTCCATGGGCCCAGTAGGCTCATCTAAACTGTCAGGCTACTCCTACTACTTTAGTGTCCAACTTTCCACCAGCAGAGACTGGTTCTGAGAAGCACCATCACTCAGAATGACAATCCTGCTACTCTAAGGTAAAGAGATTATATCAGACTCCTTCTAGTGATATAGTCATTGACAGCAAATACAGATGTGAGTTTGCCTTCCATTGCCTTAGTACCTTTGGGCTTATACCATGCTCCATGTATTGGTATGGTATACTGTATAACATTGCCTCATACTAAAGCCTCTTATCTCAGCAAAAGAGGTTCAACATAGATATATGATGATGGAATCCAAAAGAATCAAGAAGAACTGGACCTAATAAGATGGTGAAATTGCCTGATAATGTTCAGCTAAGACTTAACAGCCTATGAGTTGGCATGCTGACCTCCAGGATGGTGGTATATGTGCTGTAGCTATAGCTAATCCATGGTAATATGTTCCCAATATCTATAATACATTGGCTAGTATCTATAATACATTGGGCTCCATAATACATTGAACCAAAGGGGAAAGTATGATTAGGTCCTTTCTTCTCTCTGTCATTCCTACTAATTCATTTGCACTTTTGCTTCAAAGCTATAGGTTCTACTTGATTAAAAATCTTGGTTCAGTGGACCAGTAGGAAAACAAAACAAAATAAAAACAATTATTATATGTATAAGTGATTGGTAATTGTCCCTAATTAGCATGGAAATTTATTTTTGTGACTATAAAATGGGTTTGGGTATATGTGTGGAACTCACTTGGCTGAATCCCTGGAATATTTCCCTGCCTGGCGATAGATCATCAAAGGGCAATTGCAGCAACCACATTACAACATGGACAAGTTAACCAAAGGTTCTGACTTCCTGGGAAGAAGGTATGGGTCACTTCACAAAGCAATTAGCCTTGCCTAGCCAAATTGCTAACAAAGCATAAATGAAATCTAGAATTAGTGATAAAGGAAGGAGATAATGAGTATCAGTTATGTCCCCTCAAGACCAGTGCCTGTAGCATGAAACATAGCATGTTTTGCAAACTCCCTTATATCTTTGCAAAAAATGTGCCTTGCCACTACTTGTGACATATTGGATTTCGTGAAAGGCATAAGTAAGTCTAAATGGTACAGGAAGTATTGTATACCTGTTGTGCTTGTACTGCTTCCTTCAAATTCTCTTCCTTTCTTATTATTCTGGTCACTTCTATAACAAATATTTTTAGACAGAATTCGACCAGTTTTACTCAGGTGCAATCTATGCTGTTTTGCTAAATGTTGCTTCAAATATGTCTGGCTTTATACCCTGGGGCTTATTTGTGGATGGCCCATGGGAACCCTTTTGGCACTCTTATATGTGCAATTTATGCAGAGTGGTTAACTCCTATAGGACAACCATTGACCAATAACTATGGAAGCCAAGGTATAAATGTTTTTTCCTTTCTTCCCATGGGCAGAGAGTTTCTATATGTGTTTAGTAAGGCTTCTCCAAAGTTCTTGGAGGATGAAATAAATAGTTAAATATGGGTAGTAAACTTTAACTCATCCCTGTATTATTTTTACTTTTTCTGCTTTATTCCCTCTGTCCTTCATTCCTACTCCCTGATAGTATATTCTCACATAAACTTCTTATACATAGACCTGTTGTTAGGCTCTACTCCTGCAAAGTATCATGTGATGCTATAACATGTTGTCAAGTCATCAATTGGACATAGAGGAAGATATACCAACAATTTACTTTTCTAGTTTCTTGAGCTTAACATTTATTTAGTCATTCATATTTTTTCATAGATAATCTAATTTATTTAGGTACCAAATAGTCTTCAGATAACCATTTAAGCATTATTTTAAAAATTAGCACTTGTATTTCAATACATATTAAAGAAAGTATGTCACACATGGTTTAAGATTTTCATATTTTTTTCCTTTTAAATACCTAATTTTTTTATCCTTTCATACTCATTGCCATCATTTAATCCAAATCATAAATGCTTAACTAAAACATCATGTATCATTTTCTTTGTTCATTTCTCTTTTTCTACCATCCTTTATAGTCCTCATCCTCAAAGTCATATAGCATATGCAGCTCATTAAATTCTGTATTTAACTCTAGGACATTTTCATGCTGCTTATAATATTTTATGTATATTAATTTTGACTTTCCAACATACAACTACATCATAAACTTCTTAAGGCAAAGGTAATAGCTTTCATGACTTCATTTGGTACTCAGTACTCTAGTTTTAAATCCTAGAACAATATTAAATATATATAATCTTTTCTGAAAAGTAGTTATTTTATGTTTAAATTCAATTTAATGGCGTGAAGAATAGTTTTCTACCTTATACTAACTTCATATGACTGGTTTCAAACTTTCTAAAATCATAAAACCCTTTGATTGAACAAAATTTACCTTTAAACAAGATATTTATGAACATAACTGCTCGAGTTGAAGTGGGTTGGGTAGTAGAACCACACACGTTTCTCTTGCTTCCAATCAGCTGCATGTGATGTGTATAGGAGTTTCAAAATATCTTTTCTACCATATTTAGTCATACTAAATCCTTGTACTGGCTAATCATATTCCAGAATTAAAAGTGGCAAAAATATAAAAATTTTTCCTATGATTAGTATTTATAATAATTTACCACTTATAAGACCTGTGTTTCAACTATATTTTAAGATGTATTTTGGGTAGTTTGAGGGATCAAAAATAGGTTAGTCATCTATTCTACAAACAACTATTAAGCACCTTCTACGTGTTCTACAGGCATTGGGAATAAAGCAGCAAAGGGAAGAAAAATCCAGTCTTTCTTCTCAGAGATTTTGCATTTCGGTGAGGAAAACAAACACGATACACACACGTAATGTCAGGTGTAGTCAGGCTATCAAGGAAAAATGAAGTTAGGTAAGACAGATATACAGGGAGGGAGAAGATTGAGTTGTTGCTATTTTTAATAGGATGATTAAATGCAGATTCTTTGTAAAGGTGAAGCTCAATGGAAGCCAGCTCAATAATGCAGCCTGCTTATTTTAGAAGCTGCTTTATTTCTTTGTTCTGTGCATTATTGCTTTCTCTGCTATAGATTTAGTGCAGGCAGTTTTATTGTAATTGTAGCATTGATGCTTTCAAAGCTCCCCTCAATTCCAGTCTGATATCCATGTTCAAGTGACAGAATACTCAGGATTCCTGACTGTCCACTCATTTCATTTTAGAAAAATCTGCCAAAGGTATTTGCATCTAAAGCATCATGGTTCTTAGAGAGGTGACCATGAGATGCTATAGCATCTAATTTAGCATAGTTAATTCATTATTGGTTCATAGAAATGTAAAATTGTGTAATAAAATAATATTCTCTATGTGTCACCAGTATATTACTGAAACCTTTTCTTTGGTTATTAGAGTAGACATTTAAATGTTTATGTGTAGCAGATTATTATCTTAAGGGTGCCAGGAGTCAGTGTCATCACAGGATACAGTATTGAAAAAGTTGAGCATTGCCTCTTTGAAGTAAGGCTTAAACATAATAACAGTGGCTTATACTTATACGTAGTCATTCTCTTTGAAACCCAAAGCCCTTCATAGATCTTTTTCTTTAGTTCATACAACTTTAATGAAAATTTAAGAGACTGCTACCACCATCTTTTCTCCCAGGGACTAAAAGTAAGTCACACCAGATTAGCTTCATTGCCTCAGGTCAGTCAACCTCTTAGTAGCAGAGTTGAGAATAGAACTGAGCCTACTGACTTTTTCCAGGGAAAACTTTTGAAACCTTGCTTCACTGGAAGAAGAGTGTGCTCTTTGTCATTACCAGAGGCATAAAAGTAAAAATAAAAAATTGTCTGTGTCAAAATCTTGCTATCTTTATGAAGGTTAGCTTTCTCATGGTTCACAAAATAGGCTTTTAAAAAATTTGTCCTGGTTTTTTCTTTTTTTTTTTCTTAAATGAATCCAGAAATTTTAATAAAGTTCTAGAAAATCATGGAACTTGATTTCTCTTTTTATTTCAAATATATCAATGCTAACATTTTCAATAAAGTCTACATGACATTACCCTGGACATCGTTAATTAAAAAACAAAACAAAACAAACTTGCTATTATTAAGACTTACTTAGTAGAAGTGGGATATGCATCAACAGTGATAATGATATTTGTAAAATATTTTGCTCCTTATTCTACTTAAAAGGAACTTCCAGCATAGGGCAATAACTAATACAAAATTATTACTGTCATATTAATGCTATATAGAAAGTATGTGCATAGTGAAAATCATTCATGAATTGAGTTCAGCAAAAGTTTCATGAAATGCTAACTGAAACTTGGATTTTGATAGATAGATATAAGGGACAGTAAGAAACTCTTAAGAGAAAAAGCATGGCGTGTGCTCGCCCCACAGAAATAAGATGGGCCCTAGCAGATGCTGTAAGCAGGGTGTTTAGGTGATGCCCATCGTTAGGGTTCTTTCTTCCCTTGCTCTCGCTTGCTAACTGGTGCCGCTGTCTTCTGGAGAGCATGCATTTTCAACTGCTGCTGGCTAGCCGGAGTGCTCATTGACCTGTTCTGCAGGCTGGTGAGCTTGCACTTGGAGCTGTGTTCCTGCTGCTTTGTGCTACATTTGCTGAATCCTATCAAATCTCTGTTACAGAGTTAACTGATCAAAGTCAGAAGTTTCAATACTTGGTGATTAGGGAAAGGAATATGTGATTGGGGCTTTTCTTAAAGTCGCCCTGGGTTGCGTGTTTCTACTTGCTCCTACCTGTGTATCTCAGGTTGAATTATGTGTCTATCTTAGCATAAGGAATGACTGGCACTAGACTCGGGGAATGACTCTTACTCTATGAGCATTAGTTGTATATGTCAACCAGGCATTGGGTCCTGTTCTGTAGAACATGTAGGAGAAAAAAATGATATGCTATGTAATATATGGGCTCATTAGGTGGTCACTTGTGTATAGGAAGAACAGTCACCGTGTGGTATGAGAGCCATACTCCTAAAAGCTTTACAAAATGTCTTTGCTGCTGCAGCTGCCTATATCTCTGTTATCAAAACATATGACATTCAAAATTGGGGGCATTTTCCAGAAGTACATATGTTCAAAGGATGACTAGACACA